TGGGTTGGGCTTATGATGGATGGTAATTATTTACTTGGTTTCATACTTTCTCAGGCTATATGTGATAATATGATGAGTACTGCTCTTCTGAATTCAAATAAGGGGCACCATCCTCAGCATTCAGAAAAGAAAAGAACAAAACTGTTTTACATCTTTGTTTTTAAAAATGACATACTTCAAACTGCTTGCATTTTATCTCAAATGACCTTACTGATGTATCCAGATCAGGCAGCATTCAACAAATTACACTAAAATATTTTTAGTAAGCAGATACAAACCCCCCCCCCCCCACACACACACACACACACACATGACATAAAGCAATATAAATAGTTAATGAAATAGTTATATCAAAATGCAGGAACAGTGTATGAAAATTGGAATACACTCCATGATTCAACCCCTTTTGGCAGCAATAAGTTAACTTAGTCATTTCTTCTATGACTCTCAGTTTCCTTCATCATTATAGAGGATTTCTGGCCCACTGCTTTTGCAATACTGTTCAGTTCAGTGAGGTTTTGGGCATTTGTTTATGCATGACTCCTACCACAGCTTTTCAGCTAGAAAGGGCTGAATTTTGACTGAGTGACTGATATACCTAGATTTTTTATTTGTTTTTCACTCATTCTCTTGTAGCTTTGCTGGGATCACTGCTCTCTTGCATGATCCAATTTAGCCAATTTTAGTTGTTGGATAAATGGTCTCATATTTGATTCTAGAATACTTTGGTATATAGAGGAGTTAATGGTCAACTCAATGACTGCAAGGTGCCCAGGCTCTGCAAAACGAGCACAAATCATTACCGCTCTACCACCTTGCATGACAGTTGGTGTGAGGTGTTTGTGCTGATATAATTTCTTTAGTTTTTGCCAAATATTCTCCACTTTGGTCTCATCTTTGAAAAGAATATACTTCCAGGAATCTTGTGTTTTTTCAGATGTATTTGCAAATTTTGCTACCATATTTTATTAGAGAACTGAGACATTTTTCTGGCAACCCTTCCAAGCAAAACCATACTTGTTCATTATTTTTTTATTTGTACTGTCATCAATCAATCTTCTGATTGGAGGTGGCAGTGCTGGAGGTAAACAGTCCAAAAACACCCTGTTCACGATTGTGAGGAAAACAGAATTCAGGTTGGGACATTTCACAGTTCGTGTTACCCTGATTTGAATCCATGTTGTCATCTTTAAGTTTCAACGTGAGCTCATGATCAGCATTTTCAGTTTTAAGTTAATTGAAAATAGGAGCAGCAGGCAAAACATGATCACACATCATCTCACACTCAGTCCTTTTATACTTTACGTCATGACCCTCCTCCTCTAAAATATCCTTACTTGCTATGAAAGCACAGTGGCCTACTTTAAGTAGCTCGTTGGTGAGCAGAGCAGACTCAGGAAGGGAGGTGTTAGTGTAACCCATATTTAAGGATGGCTTGGATAAAATATACCAAAATGAAAAAAGGACCATTAATCTTAGCAGTACACTCTGTTTATAGTGAATAACGGTGTGTTCACACCGAACGCGATGGGCGCGGGAAAACAGCCCCAAACGCCCCTAACTTGACGCGTGCACATTCGCACCTCTACGCGTGTCCAAGAAAAATCCATTGCGCCCCAAAATATCACATTTTAACGCGCGTGAACTGGAAATGTGGGAAGGATGTGGGAGGAAGTTTTGCCAGACCGGTATCTTTGCAAGATGGCAGCTGTCGAGCTAGCGCTTGAAGAGAGAGTCTCCCTTCTCTATTTACTGTGGAGAGCAGAGTAGCGGCGTAAAGGACATCCTCGCCATACCTGGGTCCATCAGGTCCTCCAGAGGCGTGAGCAGTTTGGTGAGTTTCACCACTTGCTCTTGGTCCCAGAATCGCCCGCCTAGACACCAATTACAGGCGCTCAATCCCACCTGCAGAGCGCCTGTCCGTCTGCCTGAGGTTAGTAAAAGTGTTTAATACGGTAGTCCTTTATTGATACCTGTGCTAATATATGCTAAACCATCCATTTATACACTGCTAACATTGATGTGCTATGCTAACAGTGAATGCTGTCGGTGTTTACTGAAAGCAAACTGTGGTACAGAGACGACTCTTTATAATATTTCTAGTGATACTCAGAAGGTCTCATCAAGCCCCGATTTAATTCGATTTATGCTGTTATCAGTGTTTGCGATGATAGCATGGCTGTGGTGTCACATCAATGTATGCGCTCGGTGTTTGCTGATATCAAACTGTAGCATTAGGACCACTGAGTTAACCTTTGTAGTGATACTCACTCCTTTTTAGACCTGGTTTGATTCTGGGATAGTTGAATATTTGTATATAATCCCTGCAGCTATTGCCTTGTGATCACCTTTACTAAATATCTACAACCAATCTGATTATATCCTGTTTTTTTTTTTGTTTTTTTTCAATGTTGAAATTAAAATCTAGTAGCAGCCTTCTCATTTCTTTGTGTTTTGTGCTGTTTTACAGGCCCACGCCATCGGGTGGAGCTGGCCATCCTGAGTCCTGAAGAGGCCACACCAGTCTCCAATGGAGCATTTCCTCCTCAGCCTTGTTCCTGCTCTGGAGAGCAGCTGGTCCTTTTTATTCCTGTCTCTCTGTAAATACTTATATTTTATATATTTATGTTTAATGTTTTTCTGTTTGAGAATTCTAATATTATTTCAAATAAATTTTTATAATGACTAATGTCTCAGTTCTACTACACAGCAAATGTTGGCACACGACTTGACACATGTAGAATTTATTTCATATTATACTAATGACAAAATATACTAATACAGTGGGATGCAAAAGTTTGGGCAACCTTGTTAATAGACATCATTTTCCTGTATAAATCGTTGGTTGTTACAATAAAAAATGTCAGTTAAATATCATACAGGAGACACACACAGTGATATTTGAGAAGTGAAAAGAAGTTTACTGGATTTACAGAAAGTGTGCAATAATTGTTTAAACAAAATCAAGCAGGTGCATCAATTTGGGCACCACAAAAAAGAAATGAAATAAATATTTAGTGTATATCAATGTGTGTGTCTCCTATATGATATATGGGGTGCCTTTGTCTGGACGTGCTTCCCATCCAGAGCTGCACAGCACAGAGGAAAGTTCCAGCGCTCCTGGAATCCCTCTGTGATGGACCGCCAGTCTCCAGGTGAAGGCACAGCCATGAAGTCGTCCACTAGACAGTCCCAGATGGCCGTCGCTGCCTGGGGGGTGATCTGGCTCACCGTGGACACACCGACTCTGAAAAAGGTTCGTTTCCAACCTAGGGGGAAAACCCCAAAGTTTCCCAAAGGATGGGGGGGGCCCCGGTCCGCTTGCCCTGGGAATTTCTGACCCAACCCCCAACCAACTCTTAATTCTCTCT